CTCCTTGGTTGTGCCAACTGAAAGCATCCACTTCTCAAATTATTTCTTAGCCATGTCTTATTTTCCTCAAAGCCTTGTCACTGTCTGAACTTATCTTGTCCTATCTTCTGTTATTACAATCAATTTCAGTATTACCATTATGGCTGTCATACTAACAAGAGTAAACACATGTTGGGTTTTTCCTATATGCCTTACACAAAGCACTGTGGGGTTTTTTTGTTTTTTTTATTATTCATATGTGCATACAAACTTGGGTCATTTCTCCTCCCTGCCCCCACCCCCTCCCTTACCACCCACTCTACCCTCTTCCTCTCCCCCCCTCACCCCCTCAATACCCAGCAGAAACTATTTTGCCCTTATCTCTAATTTTATTGTAGAGAGAGTATAAGCAATAATAGGAAGGAACAAGGGTTTTTGCTGGTTGAGATAAGGATAGCTATACAGGGAGTTGACTCACATTAATTTCCTGTGCATGTGTGTTACCATTTAGGTTAATTCTTTTTGATCTCACCTTTTCTCTAGTTCCTGGTCCCCTTTTCCTATTGGCCTCAGTTGCTTTTAAGGTATCTGCTTTAGTTTCTCTGCGTTAAGGGCAGCAAATGCTAGCTAATTTTTTAGGTGTCTTACCTATCCTCACCCCTCCCTTGTGTGCTCTCGCTTTTATCATGTGCTCAAAGTCCAATCACATTGTTGTGTTTGCCCTTGATCTAATGTCCACATATGAGGGAGAACATAGGATTTTTGGTCTTTTGGGCCAGGCTAACCTCACTCAGAATGATATTCTCCAATTCCATCCATTTACCAGCGAATGGTAACATTTCATTCTTCTTCATGGCTGCATAAAATTCCATTGTGTATAGATACCACATTTTCTTAATCCATTCGTCAGTAGTGGGGCATCTTGGCTGTTTCCATAACTTGGCTATTGTGAATAGTGCCGCAATAAACATGGGTGTGCAGGTGCCTCTGGAGTAACCTGAAGCACTGTGTTTAATACAAAAATTTAATTGTGCCAACTAACATTGGTTAAGTGCTTCCTACTCAAAAAACACTAGTGCTTCCTACAAAAAAAAGTGCTTTAGCTAACTAGTCCAGGTCAGTATTATCTCTTGCCTGGATGACTATGGTGACTTCCTAACTGGTCCTCCTCTTTCCCACCATAGTCTCCTGACTGTCCATTGCTCACATAGCAGCTAGTGCTTTTTCTAAAATAAATCAGGTTGTATCCTGACCAGTGTTCAGCATTATTAATGTTTTTTTCCAACCATCCTGAGGTCTTGCTACTGGCTTACAAGATGCTCCATGACCTGTCCTATCCAGAACCTTGCTCTCCTTCCCTTGCTCCCTTCTGGCCATGGGCTCTGAGGCACACTTCCCCCAGAGAACCATCCACCTACATGGCTTAATTTCTCACCCACTTGGATCTCTGCTGAAATATCACCTCTTCATGATAGCCCTTCCTTACCTCTGACCCCTAACCAGGCTTTTTTTCATTCACCACTACCTTACATTGTATTGTGGTTCCTTTAGGAAACATTTGTTGAATATTTAGACCTCATTGTAGCACTGGACATACAGAAGTCCAGTAAGATGGGCAAACTCCCTGTTTACAGGGAACTATTGGAGGAGACATGTAACAAACTCAGTAAGTAGGTAGAATATATATGTTAGGGAGTGCTGGGGAAAACCAAAGTGGAACAAAAAGCTAGAGGGCTACAGGGAAGGAGAGGGGGAATTGATTTTAAAACAGAACAGTCAGGGGAGGCTTCAGTGAGTGGATAGTTATGCCAGTCCTGAAGAAGGGAAAGGTGAGTGCTATGAGTAACTAGAGGAAAGCAAATTCTGGATAGAGGGAACATCCTAGGTGAAGGCTCTGAGGGGAGCATTGTAGCTGCAGAGATGAACAAGGAGGATGGGGCAATGTGGCTGGAGAAAGGACAGGAGGCCAGGCCACGGAGCCCTCATCAGTGTTCTAGCTCTCTCAGCCTGGGTGATTTTAAGCAGAAGTGCAATCTGATCTGACTTGTGTTTTAATTGGATTCCCCTGGCTCTTGGATGGAAAATGGACTTTGAGGGTTGAATGAAGAGTCCCACTAGCCTAGGTAAGATTGCAATGCCTAGGACCAGGGTGGACTTGCAGGAACTGGTCACAGCCTGTATATCTTTTGAAGGCAGTCCTATGGATTTTACTAAGAAATTGAGAAGTAAAACATTCTAGAATGCCTTATTCTGGGATTTCAAACTCAGGCCACGAAGGATTGAGGTACTAGTACTGAGACCTCAAGGTTTGTGGGAATGGTGTTGGGGTAGAGAGAGGGCTAGGAGCAGGATCTCAGCTGACTTGTGAAACCGCTGTGGGTACAAAGGTGGTGCAGTCAGGCCAGAAGAGTGAACTGAGTCTTAGCCCCCATTCCTTACCTTCAGCAGGGCTTCTTAATGCACAATTGTGGGCAGTGGCACTAATCCACTTTGGTTTGAGATGTAATATATTTGCATCCAACAAGATGCCAGCTAGGTAGCTGGACATGAACTTGAAATTTGGGAGCTGGGAGAGAACTGCAGGTGTAAAGGCCATGTCTTGGAGCCTTCTGGTCATTTTACCTTTATTCTTATTTATATGTTTGTTGTATTGTACATTATATATCCTTCATTAATTTGTTCATTGTCTTGTCCATCCTCATGTAAGGGGAAGAGGGCTGTGACCATGTCTGCTTCCTAATCAGTTGTATTCCTAGACTTGGAAGAGGGCCTGACACCTGGTTGAATGAATAACAGATTAGGGATACCACTGTTTCCTACCTGTTCGGTGGTTCATGAAGTCCAGTGCATGACAGATCTGCAATGTTAATCTGTATGTCCCATTCCGACTCTATGGAAAGAGAGTTGCTTAAAAAGCAAAACAAAACAAAGTAAAATCCTCCACCACTTAATACCATTTACTACATGTTTACCGAAAGGTTCAAAATGACCTTTCCATTTATCAAGATTGCCTTTCAGCTAAAACACACCGGCATAATGCAAACACCAAAAATGAAGAAAAATAAACTCTAGTTAGATAATACATTCCTTTCATGGTGACTTCTGAGCTTCCGGCCAATTCTTGAGGGCACTGTTAACATTTTCCTCTTAGTCTTGCTTAGTGCTAAGAGTTCACTTTTAACTTTTTCTTTGCTATGGTGCCAGCAAGAGTTCTATCTAATGAGGTGACATAGAGTGACTTTATTCAGCATGTCTGTTGCATTTAGACTCAATACCAGGAAAGACAGGGGCCCAAGGTCTCGGCATTTTTATTTGTGTTGTTCAGTAAAGGCTTTGCAAACTGGGCTATGTATCAGTTAGCTTTGCTATATAACAACAGAGCACTCCAAAATTTAGTGCTTTAAATAACAAGTGTTTATTACTGGTCACAAGACTGGCTCAGCAAGGTGGTTCTTCTGTTCTCCTGTGCCAGGATGGCAGCTCAGCTCATCTTGGCTGTGTTTGCTCATATATTGGTGATCAGTGGGCTGAGGCTAATCTGGCCTGTCCCTGACTGGGACATCTGGCTCTTATCCTGAAGTAGGTTAGACTAGTGTAGTTCACTTAGTAGCAGCAGTGTTCAAAAGACTGGAAATGCCAAAGCATCTCCAGACCTCAGCCTGAAACTGACACAGCTTAACTTCTGCCACCTCCTATTGCTCAAAGCAAGGAGTGGAAAAATAAACTCCAGTCTTGATAGAGGAACTGCAAAGTCACATTGCAAGGAGTGTGAGCACGAAGAGGTCATTCATTAGAGTATTAATCCAGTATGTGGGGTGGGAGGATAAATAGGGCTTAGAAGGAGGACATTAGGGGGACTGGCGTGAATTTCCTTTGACCTAAGGAAGAAAATGTGCCTTGATTGTCACCATCTTCCATGTGAAACCAGAGCTTCTGTACTGGTTTGTAGATTTTTAACACTTGAACTATATTCCCTCTCATTAAAAGTATATCTCATTGAAAGTGCATCTATACTAGCTTTGAGAAGTTTTCACTGCAATACACTAGGTTGTTTTACACAATGCCTCGCATAACCATCATTTTTCTTGCAGCTATCTTTTTTTTCTCAGTATGAAACGTTTTTTCTTTTATTCATATATGCATACAATGTTTGGGTCATTTCTCCCCCCTTCCCCCCGCCCCTCCCTCTCCCCCCTACTCCCTCGTAACCAGGCAGAAACTATTTTGCCCTTATCTCTAATTTTGTTAAAGAGAGAGTATGAGCAATAATAGGAAGGAACAAGGGTTTTTGCTAGTTGAGATAAGTACAGCTATACAGGGAGTTGATTTGCATTGCTTTCCTGTACATGTGTGTTACCTTCTAGGTTAATTCTTCTCGAACTAACCTTTTCTCTAGTTCCTGGTCCCCTTCTCCTATTGGCCTCTGTCACTTTAAAGTATCTGCTTTAGTTTCTCTGTGTTGAGGGCAACAAATGCTATCTAGTTTTTTGGGTGTCTTACCTATCCTCATACCTCCCAAATGTGCTCTCGCTTTATCATGTGATCAAAGTCCAATCCCCTTGTTGTGCTTGCCCTTGATCTAATGTCCGCATAAGAGGGAGAACATACGATTTTTGGTCTTTGGGGCCAGGCTAACCTCACTCACAATGATGTTCTCCAATTCCATCCATTTACCAGTGAATAATAACATTTCGTTCTTCTTCATGGCTGCATAAAATTCCATTGTGTATAGATACCACATTTTCTTAATCCATTTGTCAGTAGTGGGACATCTTGGCTATTTCCATAACTTGGCTATTGTGAATAGTGCTGTAATATACATGGGTGTGCAGGTGCCTCTGGAGTAACCTGTGTCACATTCTTTTATCTTTTTTTTTTTTTGCAGTACTAAGATTTGAACTCAGAGCCTCACACTTTTTAGGCAGGCACTCTACCACTTGAACCGCTCCACCAGCCCCTCTTGCAGTTATCTTGATCATGTTGGTTTTCCCATAAATAATGATTGTACCCTTCCCTCATAGGATTATGCCCATATGTTGACCTGTGTTACGGAAAGAGAAAAGTTCATTGTACCCATCAAAGCTAGAGGTGCACGAGCCATCTTGGATTTTCCTGACGAGCTGAATTTTTCCACTTGCCCTGTCAAATACAGTACTCAGAAGATTCTGCTGGTACGAAACATTGGCAACAAAGATGCTGTGTTTCACATCAAAACTTGTAGGTATGCATTCCTTCGGCTCTTGTCTTTGACTGATTATATCTAAAGCTGGTCAGCACAGGTAACTTGCCAGGATAGCATTTGGGGTGGAGTTACTCGGTACAGTCTTTTAGTCCTCACTAACGTAGATTTGACTTCCTCTCCATCCTAAAGGAAAACTAAAACTCCAGGTTAATATTTTACACACCATTTCTTACCGAATCCTCTTACCTGTTTGGTGTTTTGAAAGGCTGCATAAAAGTTCTTCTTTTAGTATAGATAATGGCCCATGGGAATTTATAAATGAGCATATTTCTTTTGATCAAGAATTTTTGTGATTTCTGGATCTGCTGTTTATAACTTCTGGATTGGTTTGCTATTGCTGTTGTAGCAAATTACAACTTCAGTGACTTAAAACAACACATGCTGATTACCTCATGTTTCCGTAGGTCTGAGTATCACTGGACTGAAATCAAAGTGTCAGCAAGGCAGTGGCCCTTTTTGGAGGCTGGTGGGGAGAATATATTCCTTTGCTTTCTCCAGCTTTTAGGTGCCATTCACATTCCTTGGCTAATGACCCTCAGTTTTCTCATCTGAGAAATGGAAACATGTATAGTAGCCACTTGATAGGTTGTTATGAGGAAAAAAATTAATAAACATTACCTGCTGGTACATAGAAAGTACTATATAATAAGAGTTTGCTCTTTTATCTTTTCTTCAAATGAGCCAACCAGTCAGAATAATGGCTCCATAAATATGTCCAAGTTCTAATCCCCAGAACCTGTGAGTATGTAATGTTACATGACAAAGGGGATGAAGGTTACAGGTGCAAGTAAGGTTGCTAATCAGTTGACCTGAAAATGGAGAGACCTTCTGGATTCTCTGGATGAGCCCAATGTCATCACAGAACATAGACTAGGGGAGCAGAGTTCAGGGGACAAAACATGAGGAGGACTCAGCATGCTATTGCTGGCTGTGGAGATGAGGCAACTGTGGGAGGGAAAGGCTGTATCAAGAGCCTAGGGCTAGTAAGTGATGGAGTTGGATGTTAATCTGAATGTTTATGGAGTAGCTATCTACAGTGGGACAATATAAAGGATTGCGAGATGATCACTGCTCTCAGGAACTTTAGTAAAAGAAGGAAAGAACAGTTTGCCATGGGACATAAGAATGGTGCTTGCTCAGTAGGGCCTTAACAAGAATGACCAACTTGGGAAGACAGGAGGCAAGGGGTCAAGTTCTTTTCTATGACTTTTTTTAAAATAGTGTGTATATTGACCTGGATTGTGAACTCATTTTCAAAGGGCTTTGTCTCTGTAGTCCTTTCCTGGTTTAAGGACACATCTCTCCAGAAAGGATTAGTATTTGCTTCTTCTTTGTTCTCAAAAGTGAGACTGCTATAGAATACTCTTGATTCAATGTGTCTGGGTATAGATTTTGGTTTTGTTTTAAGGATTTTGTTTGCATTGGTTTGGTTTTGATTTAGTCCTATGAGTTTCTTTGAACTTTTTAGATCTTTCATTAGTTTTGGAAAGTCTTAACCACTATCTCCTCAAAGATTTCTGTGCTTCTTCTTCTTTCACCTTTTCTTCTACTTGTAGGGAAGCACTATCTACCGCAGGTGAAAACCACTATGGAAACAGTCTTCATGTGTCCCATCTCCCTGGGAGAAGAGGGGTGGGGAATATCCATCTTTAAATTGCAGACTGTTTGCCATCTACCTCAACTCTGATGAGTTCAAGAGAAGTTATGTTTTTTGTTGTTCATCTGGTTTTCTTCTTTGTTATAGTGAGAGAAACTCTTCCAGTTTTTCTCTAGAAAGAAGCAAGACTTGGAACCACTTTAAATAAATCAACCATCAAAGGCAAAGTCAGCCTTTGCCATCTCATCGTGAGCTTCCCATATTTTGATTGAGGGAGGAAGGGGCAAGGTTGTTCAACAGGCCCACTATGACTTAGAAAGAACCCAAAAAGTCCTCCCACAACCACCATCCATAATACATACTAAAAACTTCTCTTATCTTGATACTTTTATATGAAGAAAAGGAAATATACCTAATGTGGAAAAACAAGTACTAGCAGAGCATGTCTTCCTGGACTGTTTGGAGGAATCTTAAAAATTACACTTAACTGTCAACTTCCTATATATTAGATTCATGCAAACGTCAAGCAAAATCACAGTTAGTAGGGTGAAGTTGCAGAAAAATTTTTAACTTTTCTATCCATATAACTAATACACATATAATATGGGCAGCCACCTCAAGGACCAGTTAGGAACCACAAAGACATTAAAGGCTCTGGTCCAGTATTCCCATTTAAGATGAAGGAAGTAAGGAACTGATTTATCCAAGTTCCTACCAGATTAGAAAAAACATGGGCCAATTCTAGGCTTGTTTGTGCTTAGATCTATTTCTTACTCTTCCCCTGTTCGGCTTGGTCTTGCTGTGGGGCTGTATTATCCTTCTGAGCCCTCTTGGTCAGCTGGAGTCCAGTTGGGTCTGACAAGTGGAAGGCATTAGAAGGAGACTGGTGGATAAGAGGAAGGAAGAAGCTGGGGTGTTTATTCTCCTTCTTCTCCATCTTCAGCCAAGCAGCTATAACTTCTCTGTGGTTCTGGCTGCTGTCAGACTGGCCTGCCATGGTTCCAACTTCCACTAGGTTCCTGGGGTCTGATAACACTTGCTCCTTTCCTTTTGTCTCCAGTCCAAGGGTGGAAGTGGCTTACTGCTGTCAATAAGAGCTGTCTCACTCTCTTAAGCTGGATTACTCATTCTCTCCTATCTTCTGTATAACCAAGGCTCTCAATTAAAAAAGATTTTGCAAAACTTTTCCCTGTTTGCAAATATCTTCATTCTCCTCTTTAGATTCTTCATAAAATTGTAGTTTTATGCTCTTTCCACAAAAATGCCTGTTTTCCAACCATGTCATTGATTCTGCAAGCTGCCTCACATCCTTCCAGTCAGTCCCTTTCCTGAATTAGCTGTAGTTGGCTTCTGTTTGCAACTGAGAACCCGGGTGGCGACAATGAGAAAGGATGTGGTTGAACTTGTGATCATATCATATTGAATCAGAATCTCTGGAAAGATCCCCTAGTAAGTATCCTTTCTAAAAATGGCACATGTGGTTCTATTTCCCAGACAGAGTTCTTCAGTTAATGTGATTTTTTATAGAGATGGTAGAGCAATGGATATATGTAGTTTGGGAATTTACAGTCAGAAGTCCAGGGTCTACTCTTGGTGCTGCCCCTTTTTAGGTTCAATATATAGCTAGAAACAATATGTCACAAGAAATTGTTTTAAAAACAGATCATATTTTTCTCATTAAAAACATGATTTAACAGTTAACATTTATAAAATGGCTAGGTTTATATAAATTATAAAAATAAAAAATTTCCTTACCTGTCTGTTGCCCCCGCTTTGTATGTGAGGTTCTCAAATGCAAGGATTATATGTAACCCTTTTCATTTGTATGTCCCCATAATCTAGCTAGTATCTAGAATAAATAACTGCTCAATAAATGTTTATAGGATGCCTAACCAATAACATATCACAAAAGCAAAGCTGCAGCTATAAACCTCTACAATAATTTAAAATAAAAATACATGCTCCAAGTACTATAAAATGGGTATAATTTTTTTACGCTGATAAAAGGAGCTGCAATATGCTATAAAATATACAGAGGCATAAACAATTACTGTTCAACTTTATTACAGATTTGACCTAAAACTCTAGTATGTCCCAGAATAACTGTGACTATCAAAAGTAGGATTCATATCGGAAGGTGAAAGGTAGAGGATTGAGAAGAAATTTCAAAATCTAAAGCCTCAAGTTTGGAATTCAATAAAAAGGATTATCTGAATAAAATACTAATATTATATTCAATATTTAATATAATAGGACCAATATTTAGGCATCAGCTAAAATATTGAATCATGGACTAATTTTAGTTCAAAACTCAGTCTTTCTCACAGTTCATGATTTTCTCACAAAAATGAACTCCATAATCGAGTATTTGGCATTAATGAGGGTGTGATATCGAACCAAACAGTTTGATAGAGTCAGCTTTATGCACTTTTGGAACAATACTTTCCACTTCTTTGTAAGAGCATTTTCTGATACTTGTTACTTTCTAGCCTGTTCAGCCTGTCTGTCTATAGTGAAATGAAGTGCAAAATCAAATTATAGACAATGTTTAAGCACTAGGACTTAACACACACTACTCAATTAACATCTTATTTATTGCAAAAGTTTAGGCAGCTCTAAGTGACAATGGCAATCCCAGGTGATTTTTTAACTACTGAAGAAGTTTAGTGTAATCTAAACCTAATAATTAACACAAAGGAAAAGTATCCATCACAACTGGGGAAATTTGGATTCCTGAAGGTCCTAGAGACATGAAACTTAGGTTCTGCCATGTAATATCCAATTCATTTCAAAACTCTTCTTTTGCTACCAAGAAATATTTGAAAAGAAAATGAAAGCACAGGGCAGGAAGAAAAATGTCAGGAAGTGGAGAGGCAAAAATAGAAGAAGACATTGCCATTTTGTTCTCAGCTTTTAGGTTCTTACTGAGCCAGAAGAAAGGAAATAACTTTGAGTCTGGAAGACTCATTATTTCCCACGAAGGAAAGCTTTTGAGCTACTGAAAGTTTACTCCTTTTCTGTTCCACCAAGATGTTACAAAAATTAATGAATGGTTGCAAATATTCTTATTTCCCTTTAGGATTTGATTGTAACTCAATCCAACAACCTCTTCTGAGAGACTCCTGTGAAAAAAGAAATACATGTGTGTATGAGGGGGTGGTGAGAGACACAAAGGTCAACTAAAGATGTGGTTCCCACGTCCAGGGGTAGCTTAGAGTAGGCAGAAAAAAAGCAAGAAACTTGAAGGTAGGCTTCCCTCCCACTCTACCACTACTTAGTCGGGCAACTTTAGGCAAATTCCCTGACCTTTAAGGACATCATTTTTTTAAATGTTTGTTTAAAATGCAAATAACAAGATCTACTTTCCTGAGGTATTTTAGAGGATTAAAAAATGGACATATTGAAGTATCACCCAGGAAAGAGGATGTGCTCAGGAATCATTTCTCCTTCCTCTTATGCTCTATGCATCTCATTTTTACTTTCTTCTGTGCCTCACCTTGTACTAGAATCTGTTTTCATGTCTGCCTCTACTGTGAGAGAAAGGAAGATACTCTTGAGGGAAAAAGGAAGAAAACCCCAAGATTTCATGAGCACATATTCTACTGTGCATATTACTAGGCTGGATGCTTTCCATATGCAAGATTTAAGAGTTGACTTTGAGTCTGGGCCATGAGTGGTAACTTTGGATGGAGTATGGCATGTTGGAAGTGGGTGTTCTGATCCAATCCTAGCAGTTCTGCATTGTCAATGAGGGGACACAATCTGATCAGAAGGCAGAGTTTGTAGGTGAAGAGACCAAAGCCTCCCACTCATCCCACCCCAGTTGACTGGGAAAGTGACAGGTGTATAGGATATTTAGAAAGATGTATGTGTGTATTCATAATGCAAAACCTCTTTGAGCACAAATTATATGGAACCTTGAATGCCTCAAAGTTTGAACTTTATTGCATAGATTATGAGGACCAAAGAGGATGTTTAAGCAGGAGACTGATGTGCTGTGATGCATGTGTGTGTGTGTGTGTGTGTGTGTGTGTGTGTTTTCCAATATCCCTAGAAGTCTGTGAAAGATGAAGGGCACAATGATAAAAGCTTGAATTTATCTAAACACCAGAACTCATCCTCAGGTTCATCTTTTAGCATCTTAGGGCTACCAGAGAGAAAGATAAAAATAGCAATAACAAAAAAATAATAAACACTTGTATTCTAAGCACTTTACCTATATCAGCCCCTCTAGTTCACACGTTAACCCTACGAAGTAGACTGTCATTACACTTATTTTATTGATGAGTTAAGTGACTTGCCCAAGGTCATGGCAGTGCTAGATTCTAAACTCCATCAGTTGGCTCCAGAGACTGGGCTAGGAACCAGGGTGCCCTATAGCAATTGCTGGTGCTGTGGGTACCAGGAAAAGATAGAGAAAGGAAGGGAGGAAATGAAGAAGTGAAGGGAAATGAGATCAAAGTAGAGTGCATTAGGGAAAATGTTAAACAAGTGTCCATGGTAAGAGGCCCTAGAGGTACTGCCATAATAATCTCAGGCTCTGCCCAGTGCTGCCTTTCCTGTTAGCTCCGCATCCTCACAGCAGCAAGCTCAGGTTTTCTGAAATTGAGTTTAGTATCTAAGGGAAGATTTAAGGATGGATAAGTAAATAATCAGAAACAGCTCAGCCTGCCAGATACATTGTACAACACATTACTTTGAAAAACTAGCAATTTAAAGAAGTGAAATAGACCATGAAAATAATTAAACAGGCTGAGTTTCCTATTTAGAAGAAAGAATTCTGTAAATTCTTGGAGATTTTTCATGATCAGATCCAGTTTCTCCCTTGCTCTTCCCTTCCAAGACAATTAAGCAAAACTATTTCCTTCTGCCAAATCCACCCTCACTCCTCACCATGGCTGAATCCCCCAATTCTTTTTTCAAGACTCAGAACTTGTCCTGTTTGGTGAATTTCCACATGCACTTTCTGCCCTTCTCCAGCCTGGTCTCGCCCAGGAAGCTGACCTCAGTGGCCTTCTGGATTCTGTTTGGGTTTAGATAATAAGAGTCAGAAAAGCAATCAGACAGAAGATGTTGGATCAGGATATTTTTACCCTGCTGTCTTCTCTGTGAGAGACTGACTGTCTCCTTTGCCCAAAGCCTTGTCTTAGGACACCTGTGGGTTTCAAATCCACCCCTTTCCCAAGGCTCTTCTGGCTGTTACTAAGGCAGGGCTATTACACCATCTCTTGTAATTCCCCATACCCCTCCCATCTCCTTAAAATAGATCTTTGTTAAACTGTCCTTGGATTTCCTAATGTGAGTGTGCCATCACTTCTGTTTAGGAACTGTGATATATTTTTCCACTATAAGGCCCTGTCTCCTCTTGACTTTTATCTGGAGGAAGCACTGGGTTGGTTGTTGTTTAGTTTTGTTTTTTGCATACATGTTGAAATCTGCCCCCTTACTGGTATCTCAGTGTCTTGAAGACAAGGTCTGGATTTTATGCATTTGTGATCATCCTAACCCATTACCTGAGTCCAGCAGAAGCACTCAAGGAATGTTATAAGAAGGACTAGACGCAAACAAGAATATTATTGCATCATTTAAGTTTCTCTTACCTTACTACTCAATTACTGTTATTTTAACATAAAACTAGGTTCTTTCATACCAGGGAGAAAAGCATCCTTCACTTCTGGCCCCCAAGTTGCAGTGTCGGATCTGAACTGCCTGCAGAGCCGACATCATGTCTCCTGTCCTCCTCCTCTCACACTAGTCAGAAATGTGCCCTGATGGCTGCCTCCCTGTGTGTTACAGGCCTTTCTCTGTAGAGCCACCTGACGGGTCTCTTAACGTGGGGGAGTCCATGCAACTGGAAGTAGACTTTGAACCACAGAGTGTGGGCAATCACAGTGAGAGGCTTATCGTCGATTATGACACAGGTATGTGTTATTCTCTGTCTAAAGCTCTAAGTGGTAAGAAGGGTCAGGTGGGACATACGATGAGAATAAGTGGCACATGGCTTTTGGGGGGCATGCACAGGAGCTGAAGGACGCAAGGCAAGGAACCAAAGAATGAATGACTCCACCAGAGATGATGTCCAGCTAGGTGTAAATCCTGGCTTCCCAGTGCTTGAAAGCCTGGAGAGTTCAAGGCTCAAGAAGGACCTCTACCCAGAAGTCACACTAGTAGATAGTTATTTATGTGTAAATGAAAACTTAAAAGGTAATGAATACCCCTTGGGTTTTCCACTTGACTTACTGCTACTACATTTGTCTTTTTTTTTTTTTTTTTTGGCAGTACTAAGTGCCTTGTGCTTGCTAGACAGACACTCTACCTACCACTTGAGTCATGCCCCCAGCTCTTTTGTGCTTTAGTTATTTTTCACATAAGGTCTTGTGTTTTTTTCCCCTAGGGCCAGAGTCAGACTATGATTACACCTCCTTTGTAAATGAGATCACTATCTCATGTACCACTATTCCTGGTTTGTTTTTTTTGAAATAAGATCTCATTAACTTTTTACCTGGACCTGCCTCGAACTGTGAGCCTCCTTTCTCCACCTCCTAAGAGTACCTTGGATTACAGGCATTAAACCACCACACCCAACTTGACTAAAATTTTTCTTTTTTGTCAGTACTGGAGGTTTTTTGGAGCCACACCTCCAGCCCTGGTGTAGCATTTTAAAAATGTAAATCCAAGTTCAGAATATTCTTGTATGTATCTACTAGTCTATGTAAGACCCAGTAACTTTCATCCTTAGAACATGCAAATGTCTTACTTAACATCTTCCATGATATAGAAGTGTACCTATCACTGCTAGCATTTCTTGAGGACCACACCCTGTGCAAGCATGGAAATTAGACTGCATCTGCATTATTCAGTCTCTAAGGCTGGTTTTCAAGTTAATATTTTATTATTGCCATTTATCATTTCATGATTTTCTCATTTCCTTCTCACTTCCTTTTTATTCGTTTGTGTTGATTACCCAGAGTGCCTGCAGAAGGTGGAAAACAAGTGCACAGCCAGGGAAAGAGCTATAAATGACCTGTCGGTCATGATTCAGAGTCACTGGCTTTGTGGCTATGCATCCCAGAGGGCTAGTTCAAGCCCTTGCCTATATGACCTATGCTTAAGTGGTCCTGGCTCCTCAATGTGCAGTATAACAGCAACATAACCAGTGATACAGCCTCTGTGTCTTACCTACCAGTGTTAGCTGCAAGCCACTGGCTGCCTAATTTGAACTGTCTTTAAAAAAGAGGAAACTTCCAACCCATGTAAACAAATGGCCCAGCTCATAACACATGGAAGAGTTCTTCCAAGGCACCTGACCATTTTATACTTCCACCGACACTGTAATAGTTCCAGTTGCTTTGCATTCTTCTAACATATAGTGTTGTTTTGTTAATTTTAGACTTACTAGGTATATAAAGTGATGTCTAACAGTGGTTTTAATTTTCACTTCCCTAATGATTAATGACATTGAACATCTTTTTATTTGCTCAGTAGCCATTCCTATATCTTTTAAGCATCTGTTTTTGTCTTTTGCTCATTTTTTTCTTTTATTACTAGTTTCTAAGCATCCTTTATAACTAGGTATTCTAAATACTAATCATTTGTCAGACATATGTATTATTAATCTTTTCTCCCATTCTGTAGCTTGCCTGATCATTTCCTTAATAGTATTTCATGATGAGAAGTAATTTTTAATTTTGATGGAATCCATGCTATCATTTTTTCTTTTATGATTAATGATTTTTGTCTTCTTGCTAAGAAGTCAATCTTTGCTGTTCCAAGGTCTTGAAAGTATTCTCCTATGTTTACTCCCATAGAGTTATAGTTTTAGCTCCTATGATTATGTTAATGGTCTATCTTTGATTTCGCACATGTGTAGGAGGAATCATGTCTTTTTTTTTTTCATTTTTCTTTTATTATTCATATGTGCATACAAGGCTTGGTTTATTTCTCCCCCCTGCCCCCACCCCCTCCCTTACCACCCACTCCACTCCCTCCCGCTCCCCCCCCTCAATACCCAGCAGAAACTATTTTGCCCTTATCTCTAATTTTGTTGTAGAGAGAGTATAAGCAATAATAGGAAGGAACAAGGGGTTTTGCTGGTTGAGATAAGGATAGCTATACAGGGCATTGACTCACATTGATTTCCTGTGCGTGGGTGTTACCTTCTAGGTTAATTCTTTTTGATCTAACCTTTTCTCTAGTTCCTGGTCCCCTTTTCCTATTGGCCTCAGTTGCTTTAAGGTATCTGCTTTAGTTTCTCTGCATTAAGGGCAACAAATGCTAGCTAGTTTTTTAGGTGTCTTACCTATCCTCACCCCTCCCTTGTGTGCTCTCGCTTTTATCATGTGCTCATAGTCCAATCCCCTTGTTGTGTTTGCCCTTGATCTAATGTCCACATATGAGGGAGAACATACGATTTTTGGTCTTTTGAGCCAGGCTAACCTCACTCAGAATGATGTTCTCCAATTCCATCCATTTACCAGCGAATGATAACATTTCGTTCTTCTTCATGGCTGCATAAATTCCATTGTGTATAGATACCACATTTTCTTAATCCATTCGTCAGTGCTGGGGCATCTTGGCTGTTTCCATAACTTGGCTATTGTGAATAGTGCCGCAATAAACATGGATGTGCAGGTGCCTCTGGAGTAACAGTCTTTTGGGTATATCCCCAAGAGTGGTATTGCTGGATCAAATGGTAGATCGATGTCCAGCTTTTTAAGTAGCCTCCAAATTTTTTTCCAGAGTGGTTGTACTAGTCTACATTCCCACCAACAGTGTAAGAGGGTTCCTTTTTCCCCGCATCCTCGCCAACACCTGTTGTTGGTGGTGTTGCTGATGATGGCTATTCTAACAGGGGTGAGGTGGAATCTTAGCGTGGTTTTAATTTGCATTTCCTTTATTGCTAGAGATGGTGAGCATTTTTTCATGTGTTTTCTGGCCATTTGAATATCATGTCTTTTTGTTCTCATAGGAGTTACTGGCTCTTCCCCATTCTCGTTGTCTTGTTCTGGAACACTGATTCGAGTTTATTCCAGACTGATGTTTGCTATAGGTTTTTAGTGGATACTTTATCAGATTAAGAAAATTTCCTGTACTTCCTAGGTTTCAATTACTCTTACTCTTGAATGGATGTTGAGTTTCTTCAAATGTTCATATGTCATTTTACCTTTATTCTTCTAATGTGGTGGTTGATTTTGAAATGCCAAATCCCTGATACAGTCTGGGATAAACTCAAGCTTTAAATATTATCATTTTAATAAATCATTGGATTAGATTTGTTGACATTTTGTTTGAGTGCTTGCCATCCAAATTCATGAGAAAAACTGTCCTATAATTTTCTTACTATGTAATAGCCTTGTCAGGTTTTGTTCTGAAAAAAACAAATTGGTCTTAAAAAACAAATCGAGATTTTCTTTTCCTTCATTCTTTGGGATAGGTTTAAAAAAAAAAGGTTTGTGTTACTACCTCCTTAAATAATTAAAAAATGATTCCATATAATGTAAAAACTTAAATTTGTCAGCATAAAGTTGTTCAGAATCGCCATTCATATTCTTTGTAATGTTGATTGGATCTTTAGTGATTTCTCTCCTTGAAGTTGGTAAATTGTATCTCTAGTCCAGAATATGTTTCATTTTGGTAAATGTTCCCTGTGCACTTGGAAAGGATACCAGTTCCATGAATGGCAATGAGGTCACGTTTGTTAATATGTCATTCACTCTACATCTCTACTAATTTTTTGTCTCCATATTTTATCAGTTGTTAGGTGACATTATTAAAATTAGCAACTATGACTATTTTATAGTGAGAAACATATGATTTGGTATTTCTCTTTTGTGCTGTCAATTTTCATTCATATATTTTGAGATTATGGTACTTGGTAGATGAACATTTAGGATTAATATAACTTTCTGTTGAATTAATCATCTATCATGAAATATCTCTTTAGTTAAAAATTCTTAGCATATATTAATTGTACAAAGTAATGGTTCATTATGAAATAGCTCTTAATCTTTAGCAAGATTTCTGACATTAGCATCTACTTGATCTGGCATTTATATAGTATAAAAGCTTTCTTTTGATTAGTGTGGACATAGTATATTCTGTTCATTCTTTTACTGTCAACCTTTCTATGTCTTTATATTTAAAGTTTGACATTTGGAAGTGTCACCAGGTGGTTTTATTAAAATCCACTCTAAAAAATCTTTCTTTTAATTATTCTATGTTGAATGAAATGACTGATGTATTTGAGTCTGAAGTTTCTGTCTGACTATTAAATAGTTATAACCACTATGGGAAAATAGGTAATTAAATTTTAACCAGAACCTTTATGTTATTAGTGTTTTTAATGGAAGCGGTTGAAAAAAAATGAGTGTTAATAAACTCAGTCAATAATACATTTCTTCCGTCTGGATCTCTCTATCTTTGTAAGGTATCATTTTTGTTTATATCAGTCCCTAAATCTAAGTGTCAGTAATTACCTTGGTGGTGGGGAAGGGGTTTGAAAAGCAATAGTCAGTCCTTTTACTCTCACTAAAATCATTAGTTGTTAATAAATACATTGAATAAATTATCTTTAAAATATTTCTGAATGTATCCTTTTAAATATTTTCAGTATATCTGCATGCCTTTGAAATATGAGCGCTCTAGTACATGGGTGTAATCTGTAAATAAATAAATCTTAATACATTGGGGAAATAATTGTAAAAAAAAACTGATTTGGTCAGGTTTTGAGCGAGCGTGCTTACAGAAAAATAGAATCAAAACATGAAGAAAGACTTCTGCGGTAAGTGAATGCAGACCTTAGATTTTACAAAGGAAGACTGAAGCCCTAAGAGGTGAAATGACTTACCCATGGTCATGTGTTAGTTCAAATCCCAATCAGAGCTCTCAGACTCTTAACTCCTGCGCATTGCCCTCCCACTGT